GTTATTGTAATTAGGTAGGTAGGTAATCAAAGTAAGGGAAATTCTAATATACACCCAACCAATAAGATAGGTAATTTGATTAAATCAATAATGTATGCTACAAACACACCCAATTAAAAAGTGCTGAAGCCTAAGCCTTACATTTACATTCCTTGCCTCACCTTGAACCAGTTACTTCTCTCTCCCTCTCTCTCTCTCTCTCTCTCTCTCTATGTATAATCTACTTCTGGGTTTCATTGCTTGAATCTGCTTCTGGGTTTCATTTCTCTCGGTGGAGAATTTGTTTCGGTAGTAGAAGATCGGTGGTGGAGCGGTGGTGCAGTGGTGGTTCTCTGGTGGTGCAGTGTCCTTTGCTGAAGTTTCATTAGCTTCTTGTTAATAAGGTCTACTTTTTTTAGTGCTTTTTAGTCATCTCCACAAACTATGGATTGTGTTCTTCTAGATTCCTATGCACACAGATATTACTAAATAATGGTTTAATTGAAATAGTACTTCAAGATATTCACTTATAGTTCGGAGATTTTCATGTTGCTAATCCTTGAAATTTTTATGTAATACTGAGAAAAATCATTAACTGAAAGTTTAGAATATTTTATTCCTTTTGCAGCTCAAATGAAGCAAATAGTACTTCAAGATTTTCACACATACAAATTAATCAAGTAGCAACCCACAACAATGTTATTATTAGTATTTTCTTTTTTAATATAACGGAGGAGAGGGGTTGTTTGAACTTGGTTAGTAGCAACTTACCAATTGATGCAAAAAAAAATTCTCTTACTAAATTTGAGTTATATATATTATTTCAGGTAAGTCTAACATGAGAATCTCATTATCCATAACATTTTTCTTGTTCCACCAAATAAAACAAAATAAAATAAAAATTATTTTATAACAATTATACAACAATATATATCATGATAGTGTTACACACAAATATATAAAAAAATGTTTGATGAAAACAATCAAACACATATCTCACGTTCCTGTCCAGATGTCGAGTATCTGACACGGATATAGGTTGCACCAAACAATCAAATGCCTAGACAGGATAGGATGTAGTGGGAAGAGATGGCTGCTCCATTAGGTTCGTTATTACAGAGTTGAACTTGTCTTGCACCCAATCGATTGAATTTGAAATTCTTTGCTTAATGCCCAGATAAGTTGCACCAAACATGTCTAGGCAACAAAAGATGACTTGCTTAAGCAAAATGCCTATCAGAATTATGGGCAATAATAC